GTATTTATTAGGGAATATAATTTATCACTCTGTTTCTATGAAAAAGTAGGCTCCAGCTTCCAAAAGTCCAATTTACAACGGAACACAACTCATGTGAAAACTGGAGACTTCTTTCCTTGTTTTGCCACAGGTTGGAGTTTCCGAAATGTAGAGTGGCAAGAATATCTACTGAGATAGTGAAATAAAGTATTAAAACCCTGTCTATTTACTCCCTCATCCTTTTATTTTTTACTTTTGCATTTCTTTTATAATGTTCAAAACATATTTGAGTTATAGTGGATATAATTATGAAAACAAACAAGCTTTTTTGAGGATAACTATGCAGCAGTATTTTGAGGATGAATTAAAGCATATGATAAAAATTCTGGAGAGCATTATTAGAGAGTTTACTTGGAGGGGTAACAATTTAAACTTTTGAACTTGAAAAGGTGAACTTTTTTTTTTTGAGACGGAGTGTCGCACCGTCGCCTAGGCTGGAGTGCAGTGGCGAGATCTCAGCTCACTGCAACCTCCGCCTGCTGGGTTGAAGCAATTCTCCTGCCTCAGCCTTCTGAGTGGCTGGGATTATAGGCACCCACCACCAAGCCCAGCTAATTTTTGCATTTTTAGTAGAGACGGGATTTCGCCATGTTGGCCAGGATGGTCTCGATCTCCTGACCTCATGATCCACCTGCCTTGGCCTCCCAAAGTGCTGGAATTACAAATGTGAGCGACCGTACCCAGCCAGAAAGGTGAACTTTTAAACAGCTCTCTGAAGCCTTTCCAAAAAAAAAAAAAAAGACTATTTTTAATTGTCTATCAATATAACACATCTTTTTAGAGATTAAAGCCTGTAAAACAATGATTCTCAACTAGAGTTAAGGAGCACCTGGAATTTGATTAAAATACAGATTATTGGCTCTTACATCCCGATATCCTAATTCTGTGAGTCTCAAATGAAGCCAAAAATGTCAATTGCCTCAAAAATAACAGCGTTTATCAATCTCAACACTACTGGTGATGCCTTCTTGTAAAGGCTGTCGTATCTTATGCATTACAGGATGTTCAGAAATGTCCTTGACCTCCACTCACTAGATGCTAGTAGCACCCCTTTTATGACCACCAAACATACCTCTAGATATTGTCAAATGTCTCCTGAAGAGCAAAATTGTCCCCATTAGAGAGCCAGGAATAGCAGCTGCTCAAAAATGACGCATTTTGTGAAATGTCAAACTTAATCAAAAGGATAAAATAATATGATAAATATAGAAGAATACAGATATGTACAAGCATACATTATATATATTGAAATAAACTGGCTTCCCAAAAAGAAAATCTGATTAGCTTCTATAAACTACTGACAACTCAGATAAGTTTCTAAGTCAAAGCTCCTCTTATGTAATTTCAACTTGATTTTCTCCCCAGCTTCTATTTTAGATTATTTTTAATTAACTTCACTGGCATTTTGCATCCTGCTAAGAAAAGTCCGCCTACTAGTCTCAGAGGACTCTCCCAAGAGAGAAGAGTGCATTAAATCACACATTATCACATTAAAATATATTCCAGCACTCAGAGTCCAACAGTCTACGTCTTGGCAAATCAATGTCGTGGGGTTTGGGGGAAAGATACAGGGACGGGAACAAGCTCAAGTGATTCACAATATCCCAGGCCTATTGTCAATGCATCCAGCCCTATAAAAAAGTTGAACTGATTCTCTACTTCAACTGCAGTTATCATAATGACACACAATTTATGTTTTTAATTTGTGCGTCTACCCTGATTTCTTGCTACTGATCGTGTATGAGACCTTGGGCAAGTCACTTAAATTCTTTGGACATCCTTATCTTTATCTAAAAAACGAACAGGTTGGATTAAATTACTTCTAAAGACCCCTCTAGTTACAAATCCCAAAGTTATGAAAGAAGCACTTAATTCAAAACTTCTTTTGATTACAGGAATTCTAGTAACGCACTGAAGGGCAAATACCTACATTTTCAATGTTGTTTGATAACACAAATTTTAAAATGCTTAATCAAAATAGGACAAATGGCAATCAGAGGTACCACATAAACAAGATCCATTGTGTCTTAAAAGAAAAATAAGTTTGATTCAAACGGCTTTTCACCTATCAGGACATGCATATGAGTACTCTATATGAGAAAGTAAGTCAGTATTTCACAAGGTAGTCACAAATAGCAATATAGCTTTAAGTTACATGTTTACTTTCTTTTTTCTATAAGAGAGATCACAAATCAGCTGCTCAGAGGCCACATCCAGCCTACAGCTGTGGTTGTTTTGTTTGGTCTGGACAAAAATTGTATTTAATTAGTTGCAAACTCTTAAAAATGGAGAGATGATACATAAAAATCAGGATTTCCAGTGTCACTTGAAATATCAGAAGATACTAACCCACATGCCAACAATTAGCTGGAACTAAGGAATGTTGTTTCCTGGCCCATGAGTTCTCCAGTTTCCCAGAATTCCCATTGCTCCACACTGTCTGGTATCTATCCTGGTTCCCTCTTACAGCCTAGAGCATGTAAGCTTATGTTCCTGGTCTGTAACTATTTTCAAAACACATGGGAAAGATTTGTAATGCTTTTTAATGCTTTCAAAACAATAGTAAAGCTTGCAGAACCACAACAAAAGGTAGAAATTTTAAGGAGGGGCAGAATGTTCTTAATATGGGCAACATTTCTAATTAATGCTGATATTAGAATGGGCTGCACTAAACGTTTTTTAAAAAAAAAAAAAAAACCTAAAAGGATGTAGAATGGAATTGTAGACTTGATGGGCAGTTCAGATTAGAGAATCCCCAAAATTACTCTCAACTCTAAGATTCTATGCCTTTGGTTAAGAGTATGGACAGCTCATCACAATATAGTATAGCAATATATGTAGAACTTATGATGTTATTATTTACCTAAACGTGTATATTTAACTTTGTAGAGGTAGACTTGATCATATCCTTCATGTTCCTGAAATAATATTTTTTTCTGTTAATTTGTATTTAAAATTCCATTTTCACTACTGACTTCAAATAATTTAAAAATTAGGCTTCTATTAACTAAGCAGTCATATCCTACTGGAGAATTATTAAGCTATTCTTCAGAAAAGATGATTAAAAAAATCCAAGGACAAAAGCAAGAGGATAGAAGAACTTGAGAAAGGGCTTTAGAGTAGAGTGGCCTTCAAGCAAAGCTTCTTCACAAATGTCTTTATCAATAAAAGCAATCTAACCAAGCTTCCCTTGAAGCTTTCGTCTACCAGCGTGCTGCAAAAATTTCTTTATTTAAATACACCTCATGAGATCAGCCTGTTTAAGATATAGTGCTTCAACAAGATTCTGCAGATTTTCAAAAATCAGCTTTATATTTATAATTAAATTGATCCCTATTTTTAAAAAATTAAAAAGATCCCTATTTAACTTGCATCAAAGTTAAACGAATAATAATGATAACATATATAGCTATGTTGGTAAAGCTAAGGCAATTTTCAGGTAAAATATAACCCAGAGTTCCTACACTGATAATATGTGTGTTGTACCCAACAAACGTGCTACTTCAGGCCATTCTAGATGTTCTGCTTCTTAAGGCCAGATCACATGATATTATCCAGCATCTTAAATCACAGATACATAAAGTACCGCTTGAGGTTCTCCCAGCTGATTTGAAAAATACAAACTATTAAAGTTGGATATTGTAAATATTAACTATTTCCAAGGCAAATTGTTTTTCTTGAGTGTTTGATGTTGATTTTTGACATAAGCCTAGTTTAACAATAGTGATTAGCAGCTCAAGCGTGAGCTTCAATGAGTGATATGACTACTAAGGGCACGCCTAAAGACAGGAAAATGATTGTGCTGACAATACAAAGAGGAGAACATGGGCTGCTTCTCAGAAAACACATGTTTATCATTCTAGCTCTCTGATTTTCTGTGGTTAATCATTTTTATTTTCTCTGTTTAGAAAACTGAGTCACTCATTCAGAAGCAAAAAAAAAAAAAAAAAAACAGTGATAAACATAATTCAGTTTAACAGCCCTGAGTGCCAGAACATTTTAATTTAACCATTGATGTTTTCTGCTTTTACCTATTGTGGCATGAAAGTTAACTTCTTCCCCAATTTTTGCTACCTTAAGAAAATCTCCCCCATTCACTACATTACTACTACAAGTGGGAAATAAAGCTATCATATAATGCTTAAAATCAAGGGTATACGGTAGGTCTTTGAGCGCCCGAAAAATTACTTAGTTCTGCTATATTGGTCACAGAACTCTTTAGCTCAAAACCATCCTTAAAGTAAAACGCATTCGAAGTTTAAGAACCTTCTCTCTGTCACCAATGGAAACCTGAAGTATACTGCCTTCAAGAGAAGAAAGATACTGTTCAACTCGTTTAGAAGCTTGTTATGGAAGTTTCCCAGACACAAGAGTATTTTATAGGCTGTGTGTGTTTACACTTTGGAAGAACACAAAGGAGCTAATTCATTCTCGGAAAGTGTTTCTTATAAAGCTTGTTTATTTCAAAACAAACCAGTTATTGAAAACATGCATAACCCATTCCAAAGAGATTGGTCACAAAAACCTGGATTATCAACTGCGTTGTGGAGGAGCCAACAAGAAACAGAAAGGTGAAACGGAGAGAGTGCATGCTTGTTCAGAGAGCTGCGGCAGTCCTGGATCTGCTGAAGAGACCTAGAGGAGAAGCACTTCAGAACCTACACGTTGAGTCTTAGGCCCAAACATGCATAGACTTAAGAAGGGCGCAATCCTGTCATCCCGCTTCTTCGCTACCCGACGAAGGGGGAGTGGAGGGGCCAACGGATTCCGCCCTCTTATCCTGTTGTTGATCTAGGGCAAGGATCCTGGAGAACTAGCTTGAGTAACTGTGCAAAAGTTCTCAACTACGAGGTGGGAGTCCCTCCTCACAGCACTTCCGCCACCCCCATCTGTACACGTGTGAGCAAACTGAAAAATGCAACAAGGACAAAGAAGCTTGCAACTTGCAAGCGCGCACTCACCCTGGGCTGGGGAGCCCAGCCGGCCGCCGCCCGCCTCGGCCGCGCGCTGCGGCCCCACGGGCCCGGGAGCGAGGGCTTCGCCCGCGCCGGACATGGGCCGCTCCGCCGAGCCCGCGCCGCGCCGCTGCCGCCTAGCTCGCCGCCCCGCGGGGCGCACGGAGAAAGGGCTGTGAGGTGCTGGGTGCAGGGAACTGACTGCTTCTGGCGGAAAAAAAATTTTTTTTAATTTTAAAATGTGTGTAGAGAAGAGCACACCACCCCTGCGGGACGTTCCCTCCCCCTTCACTTCCCTCCCTCAAACTCCACCCCGGGGAAGTTTTGATTTGAAACTAGCGAGGAAAACTGTTACTGCGCGAGTTGACAGCGGCGGGGTCCCGGGGGCCCCAGGCGGACCCAGCGGGGAGGGGCTGGAAAGAGAGAGCGGGTTTGGGAGAAGCCGGGGATGAGGCTCAGACCCCTCCTCTTCCCCGCCCGGAGACCACCACCTACCTCCGCATCCCCCTCAATCGCGCCAAGCCCCTTCCTCCTCCTCCTCTTCCGCCCGGGAAAGTTAGCGAGGCTTCGGCAGCGGCCGCATTTTCGCCCCGGTGGCCTGACGACGGCGGCGGCGGCCCCTGCGCGTCCCTCCCGCCTCCCTCCGGCTCTGCCCAGACGCCGCAGTGGCGGCAACTGCGGCAGCGGCGGCGGCTCTGACTCCGCGCACTCCGCCCCCTCTTTCCAGCCAGCTCACTCCGGCCGGCTCCCCAGCGATGGGGCCTTCCCCCTCTCTGCCTCTCTTCCCCCCTTCCACTCCTACACTCCTGAAACACTTCTCCCTCTGTTGCTCCTTTTCATCACTTCCGGATCGGAGAGGCCTCGAACTCTTGGCGGGCGGCCCCGAGGCTGGGGGCGGCGCGACCCGGGTTCGGCCCCGCGGTCCCTCGCGCCCTGCGCTGTCTGGGTCAGGAGGCCAGAGCCGGCCTGAGCTGGCGCGGGCTCCCCACCCGGGCGCTGCGCCTTCCCCGGGCTGGGAAAGGGGAGTGAATGGGCAGGTCCCTGGCTGCCCAGACGTCCCCCTACCCCGCCCAAAACGTCACCTCATTCCTTCTCCCTACTCCAACCTCCAGACGGAGACTTCGAGAAGACCCTGAGGGAAACCCTTAGGGTGGACAAGTAAAACCAAAACACTGCTACAGTATCGAACTTTCCTGGCGGGATAGAGAAAGCGTGCGTTTGAAAACTTGACCCCTCGGTTGAACGTTTACTCACTTCATCTCTGGCTCCTAAATTATTCTTTCGTCAAACAGGATTTCTGATCAGGTAAAACCAGTTGCAGTTGCGCGAATCCACTGAAGGCATCCAGGCAAACAAGGTTGGCACCCTTGAGGATGCCCAGGAACTGGCCCCAGCCTGGCCTGTGGCAAGCTGAATGCCTCACTAGATCAGTGGTATCTGAGGGGAGATAAACTTGTGGTCGGAAGTAAAAAGCTGACCAACTTTCCGTTTATAAGTGAGACATTCTGATCGTAGCTTCATCTGATGAGCTGAGAATAGCAAGTGTAATTTACAGATAAAGAGTACTTTAATGATAACTCAGATAACTTTTGCTCTTTATTTCATTGTGAGTGAAATGCGGAATTCATTTATAAAAAGCTAGAACGAACTCCTTCGACTCTGTAGGAGAAGCGAGGAATCACAGTAACGTTATCACAATTGAAGAAAATGTACATTGGATTCACTGTCTTTCTAGGTGCATCATTAATAATATACTAGAAATTTCGTTTCTTCAGAAAACCTAATAGAATTGATTCGAATTGATTTCAAAGATTTATTTCTTACGTATGAAGAGACAGTGCATTCTAACTTGATTTCAAAGATCGTAAAAAAGTCAGCCTTCAAAGTCGCTGAGGACAGTCACTTAGACCATACTTCCCCAAAAGACAAATGGCATCTTGCCCAATGACCCATAACTTTTTTTTTCATTTGGAGATTTCAGAAATTGTATGAATTTGAGTGCATTAACTCTCTTGAAAATTTGTCTAGGAGGCTGGACTGTTTGGAATCTCTTTGATGGAAGCAGATCATTCTGAAGATGACTTCGTCACTACTACAGAACAAACATTTAGGATGTCTCAGAGTCCACTGTAGCATCACCTGCACCAAAATTGAAAATTCTGTTTTATCCCTGTACCATTCCTTGCCCTATTTTTAAAATTCTCTCACAAAGATGTTAAGATCCAAGTATATAAAGAATTTACAGCTTTCTTCTCGAAAACCATAATCAATGACAAATATTTGTTCATTTAATTTCATACCGTTCTTAATATTACACCAATGGAGAAGACACAAAATTAACATAACATTAGGAGCAAATGAGAAGCTGTAGGGTAGAATCACCAAGGTGGTCAGATACTGTACCTTGTTCAGCCTTATGACTTTGGGCAGTTAGTCACCCACTCTATGCCTTGGTTGCCTCATAATATGAGAACGAAATTCTTTATAGAGTTTCTTTATGAGCACTAAGTAAGGTAGTTTTCCTATAGCATTTGGAAGACTGTCAAATAAGGGAAAATGTGTTCAAAAGTATTAACTATTATTACCATTATACACAGAAGCACTTAATGGGTCATGCTGAGCCTGTCATAATGACTGTATCAAAAGGGTAATATCAAAATACCAGGTTGTTATGCTATGCACCTGACACAGATGATCTCAATGAATTCTTCCATTGGTCCTATAAGTAAATTGCTTAGGATTAGAACTCAGGTCTGTGTGCCTTCTAGGGTATCCTGCATCCTTGGTAACTCAGGTCCTCCTCTGGGACCTAGAGGTGGTCTTAATGCCATTAGCCTGGTGTCTGATATGCCGGGAGTTAAATGTGGGCTCCTGAGTGTTCCCCATGCCTCCCATTTCCCACATCCCTGGCTGCAGTTGCTTGTTCTGATTGCTTAGTTTGTTTCCTGACAAGCACACCAGTACCTTCATCTCTAATTGTTGTACTCAGTGTCAAGAACTGAAAGTTTGTGTTTCCCCAAAATTCATATGCTGAAATCCTAGCCCCTAATCTCATAGTATAGTAAGTGGGGCCTTTGGAGGTAATTAAGTCATAAGAGTGGAGCTCTCGTGAGTGGAATTAATGCCCTTACAAAAAGACACAAGAGGCCAGGTATGGTGGCTCACACAAAGGCAGGAACTTTTGAGACCAGCACTGTAAGACCAGCCTGGGCAGCAGAGAAAGACCCGGTCTCTACACAATTGTTTTTTAAAAATTAGCAGGGCATAGTGGCATACTTCTGTACCAGCTACTCTACAGGATAAGGTGGGAGGATCACTTAAGCCCAAGAGTTGGAGGTTACTGTGAGCTATGTGGGGGCCACTGCACTCCAACTCCGGCAACAAAGCAAAACCCTGTCCCTTAAAAAAAAAAAAAAAAATACACACAAGAGTTGTCCAGACCCCACCTTCTAATACCATCATCTTGGTGATTAGGATTCAAAATATGAACTTTGGGGAGACATATTTTCGAAGTTACTGTTTATAAAAGCCACTCTGGTATTATGCATAAAATTGTGTGGAGGACTGAGAGTGGATCTAGGGAGTCCAATCTGGAGGAAAGGGCTAATGTTGGAAGAGCCAAGTAGATAGGGATAAAGGATGAGGAAGCTAGAGGAAATAAGAGACACTGCCAGCTTTCTGCAATTAGGTAGATGGTGGTGATACAACCTACAGAGATGGAAACATTCAGGAGGGGCTGGATTTGGGGAAAGCTGCTGAGTTAATCATGTAAATGATGCAGTATGTGTGAAAGGGCCAATTGGAACTGTCCTACATAGGCAGCTGGACATTGCCTGGATTATAAGCCTATATAGGGCACTTTACTAACTAGCAGGTTGTTAAGAGTGCCCAAGGTTAGTGTGCAGAGTAAAAGCAGAAGCCCTAAGATGGAGATTTGCCCTGGAACTCAATCCACATGTGTCCTTACTGGCCTGTCTCCCTTCCTCCACATCCTTCCCAGTGGCATAATACTATTATCTGCCTGGCTTGGAGAACCACTACTGTTTATAAGTGCTACTACTGTCAGTGTTCCACTTGCTACCCCAGATTCCCCTGGGTTGTCTTTATTAAGCTAGATTTTGCCATGTCTTATGCTATGTTAATCTGGGTGGGTGGAAATTCTCCAGGGGTATCAGCCTTCTGGTGGAACTAAATGCCCTAGCCCTGGATCAAAGCCCCCTGCCTTTGAAATTCTAGTGTACCTTACAACCATTCCTGCCTAGTGATGTACACACTAATGATGATATAATAGTATGTGAACACATTGTGAAAACGGTCTGACGTGAGCTAAGCAAATAAAATAAAGAACTAATTAAAAGAGTTTGTAAAGCATCCTTATGGACTACTTAATCTTCATCATTCATTCATTAAACATTCATCAAACATTTATTGTGCACCTACTATATGCTAGGCCACATGTTAGGCTCTGGAGATAAAGAAATTTGATTTGATGTCTTGAAAAGCAGCTAAATTAGTTTTCACTTGAGCAGAGGCTTATTTGCATAGTAAAATCAAAGTTAATCTCCTGGCATAGATCTCTAAACCAGAGGTCTACAAGTGGGGTGTGTAACTGGAAGGGCATCCCAAGGGATGCATAAGACAATCTACTGATATGTGGGCAGAAAATATTAGAGTGAGCATTCATACACGTTTTTATGTTATAATTTTTTATTTCTGTTTCTGAGTATGTTTTTATGCATTATAGTACACATTCGTACAAAAGTACTTGGGTATGATTTATAAGTAAACATACATTAAGAGTTCACATTCAAATACTTTGTTTCTTTGTTTAAAAAATTTTTTTAAATGCTTTGAATCCTTTAAGGAATCATTCCCAGATTATATCACGGGTAGGTTTTGTGCAAAATATATTTACCTCCTTTAGGTTAGAAGCAGGACCTTAGCAATCCCCAAACGTAATGACGTGGAAACCAGGAAATAACATCAACACACTACATACCTAAAACAACCTTCATGATGTTCAGAAAGTGCCAACGCAAAAGACATAATTCTTCTCAAATCCTACATGTTCTTTTGTGAATACACACCTCTAATCAAACTTTATTTTCTTTTGTTTCAGCTCACAGTATTTTAGAAGAAGAAAACTTAGGGCACAGGGATTTTGCGGGGAAGAGATTAGCTAAGGGATCTATTAGGTCAGAAAAACTGACAGCAGGAGAGATGACAGCTGACAGACAAGGAAGATGCAGGAAAATAAACATGTTGTAACACCTTTGTGAATTCAGCCTCGTGAAACAGTCAATGTTCCAAATGAGACCCTGAGTCATTAAGGAAAGACTCAGTTTTGTTAGTGCTATGTTCTGTTTTTAAGGGGTCAGGTCAATCTTTTTACATTCTAGGAAAAACTCCTTCAAACACGTTCAAAAATTCCTTTTAAAAAACGTTGCTACTTAAAAGAGTAAATTCCACAGATGACAATTTTACAGCTGCGAGGGAAATTAGCAATCATAATTCCAGGCAAAGCTGTCTTGATGGCACTGCTCCATCCACCTCCTAGTACTATGTCAGGTGCACTCAGGTACAGAGGAGGTCAGGTTCACAGGTTTCTGGAACCCTGCTCTTAGAGTAGAACACGTTCTTCTTTTTCTTTATAATGTATCAGTCCTTCTCTTAAATTTTAACTGAAGCAACTGGTTCCTCCACTTTTTGAAAGTTAAAAAGTCATCAGTCTTACTCAACTCCTTCATTTAACATATAAAAAAAACACAAAGACATAAAGCTTACTCACTAGGTTCAACAAATTTATATTGAATGCTTACTATGTGTCAAACCACATGTCAGACACTAGCGTTTCAAATATAGAAGAAATACTGTTTTAGTCTTCTGGGAGTTTATAGTCTATAAGGCCAGGGGCAGAAGAAGGCAGCAATGTAGCAGCAGAACAGTCACACAAAAACTTACCATACTGCAGGAGCAAAAAGGAAGTAGCACCTACCTAACTCAGCTCAGGCGTAGGTGGGGAGAGTCAGGGTACATTTCAGAGAGAAGATAACACCAAACTGAGTATTGTCATGAGTAAGTTTGCCTTTCAAGAAAGTTAGGGAATTCCACATAGAAGTAACACTTGCAAAGATGAAGAAATGTGAAAGCCCCAGAGAAGTTAAATGACTTGGCAAAGGTCAGTTAGTGGGTTAATTACAGAGCCAGCTTTAGGAGCCTAAGTTTCTTGTCATCCAGGCTTCTTGCTCTAGCTATCTGGATAGTGCATGTAAATGAATCCATCACTTCTAATTGATGGTGAAGCACGAGCATGCCTTTTGTTATATTTTGAAGTTCTGAAGATTTTTCTTTTGTGAATGGGTAACCAAAGAACGAGGCATAAAGTCTCTTGTTGCTGAATGAGTCCTCTCCAAGCTCTCGGTTAGTGTCCCTTTCAGTTGGCTGACTTCTCTGGCCTGGGGCACTGGCCTTCAGGGTCTTTCCTTGCTGTCACTGTGCTCTCCTTCTTGTGTTTTAAAAGAAGGAAGGGAGATGTTAAGGCATACAGTGGCACTTGTCAGATAAAAGCAACATGACTGAAGACAGAAATGAAAATGGTCATAACCTATGCAGTAGACAATAAGTAGACATTTGCTTCATACTTAGAAAGTGAACCTAGATATTCCAGGAGAATAAAAATTGTGGAAAAGTAGTAAATACAAGAGGCTCCTGAAAATAATGACCAATCTGCTGAAACTGCAGTTGGAAATAATGTTAGCATGATGATCATGACAAAAATGTTTAAAATGGTGTAGAAGATGATGATTCTATTGTTACTATATTCCCTAACCTCATTTAAAGTCTCAGGTTAAGGAAGAAAATATCAACTTTGAAATTTGAATCAGTGCTCATATTTCTCCAAATTTTTTATTAAGAAATACATGCTAAATTTAAAAAGCAGAATTATAACAAAACTACAGTCATGAGCAACATAACGATGTTTCAGTCAACAACAGATGACATAATGACAGTGGTCCTGTAAGACTGTAACAGAATGCCTCATATAGGTCTACCATTTTTTATCTTTTATGCCATATTTTTACTGTACCTTCTCTATGTTTAGATATATAGATACTTATTGTGTATCAATAGCCCACAGTGCTCAGTACAGTAGCATATTGTACAGGTGTATAGCCTAGGAGCAATAGGCATGCCATACAGCTTAGGTGTGTAGTAGGCTATACCATCTGTGTTTGTGGAAGTACACTCTGTGACATTCACACAAAAATAAAATCACCCAATGACACATTTCTCAGGACATACGTTAAGCTATGCATGACTGTATATTGTTCACCCAAGCATGGTACCTATAATCAACATTGGGGAAAAGGCAGGGTTTCTTGAATATCCTTCCACCTCCCAACCTTCTTCTCTCTCCTACTTCGAACAGCCCCTGGCTGTCACCCTAGCACTTGCAGCTCTATATTCTTTTCTTGCTACCACAGGTAATCAACTTTAGACAGTGTGCAAATTTGTGCCAAGCATTATAAGGAATACATTTGATTTTACATGTTAAATACAAAGATATGAATAACTCGTGATCTTCTTAACTCTACCAGCAACAGTTATGTCTCTATCTTCATAGACCCTCAAAAATGTATTTAGGACCACAAGGAGACATAGAGAGGTTATTAATTGCCACACTATTTGTGTGGCAGGGAGTTGAAATCAATCTAGGCATTCATCCTTGGGAAAGCAGGAAGTTGATTAGGTAGATGCACAGCATGGGATATTGTGTAGCTGTTAGAAGGAACAGATGATAAACACATATAGAAACAAAATGGATCTAAAAATGATAGTGAAAAGTGTAAGAAGCAGAATGTATTTTTTGTTTAGCACCAATTTATAACTAAAAATATGTGCAGGGAGAACAGAGCACATTTTATGAGAAGACACACAAACAAGTATGTACATCAATATCTGAGAATGCTAACCTCTGAGGAGACAGAAGAGAGAGTGGAGAGTGGGAATTAGAACAAATAAATACATGCAGAGAAGCATAGGCATAAAAAGGGCGGCCTTGCACAGACCAGTGAATATAATGTACCATATACCAAGGTGCTGATTAACTCAACTCTGCTCTAGAGGTCCAAAATAATGACTATGACCATCATAATGACAATTTCTACTACGACTACTACCACCATCACCACCAGAAATAAGAAATCATCATCATCATAAAAATATTACATGAATTTGTATTGATAGATTATCAGGCAATGTAACAAAATTACTAGAAGAAATGAAGATGTTATATATCCCTAAAATTAGGTGGAAGCGACTACTTAGTTTGGCTTTGTTTAAGATCAGCAGCACTAGAAAATTTTGGTTAAAACAGTATATCTATACATATGTGTAGATATGTATAGATATACTGTTAGCTTTTTAACCTAAGCTCATCCAGGTTAAGCATTCCTAATCCAAAAATTTGAAATCCAAAATGCTCCAAAATCCAAAATCGTGTGTGACATGACACCACAATGGAAAATTTCGCACCTGACGTCATGTGACTGGTCACATATATTATTTAAATTATTATATAAAATTCTCTTCAGGCTACATGTTTGAGGTCCATATAAAACATAAATGAATTTCATATTTAGACTCAGGTCCCAGCCCCAAGATATCCCATGATGTATATGCAAATATTCCAATATCTCAAAAAATCCAAAATTCAAAATGCTTTTGGTCCCAAACATTTTGAATAAGGGATACTCAACCTGTAGAGCTGAATGGTGGCTCATTAAAAGGTATGTTCATGTCCTAATCCTGTTTGCTACCTATTTGGGTAAATAGTCTTTGCAGATGTAATTAAGTTAAATATTTTTAGACGAAGAGATACTCCTGGATTATCCAGGTAGGCCCTAATTTCAGTGGCAAATATCCTTATAAGCGACACACAGAGGAGAAGACAGACATAGAGAAGGTGTAATAAAGATGGACACAGAGGTTAGCGTTAAATGACCACAAGCAGAAGAAGCTGTCCAACCTTCAGAAATCAGAAGGGTCATGGAGTGGATTTTCCCCTAGAGCCTCCAAATGGAGGATGGCCTTTCAACACTTTGCTTTCAGACTTCTGGTCTCTATGACTGTGAGAATAATATTGTGTTCTTTTAAGCCACCAATCTTGGGGTGATTTGGCACAGTGGCCACAGGAAGCCAATCCAACTTGTCTTTAGGAATAGTGAAATTGAGGCTATTTAGGCTCAGTGTGCCAATGTTAAGTGTTCAAATTTCGCTGTTCTTTCCCTATCAAGAAGACAAGCAATCTTACCTTTTAATTCCTGAAGGAACTGTTTTTTTGTTTTGTTTTGTTTTGTTTTTTTTGAGGCTGACATATGTCTGTCTCAATATCTCTGCAGCCCCAGCCCATCTCTTCATTATAATGACTCTCACGTAGAAAGTTTCTTAAAATTCACACTTTTTTTTTAAACCACACATCACTCAATTTTATTCTTGGGATAACTCTTTGTAACTGGTATTAAATATATTGTCATCTTCACTCTGTAAGTTGAAAAGCATGGAGTTAAACTGAAATTTGCGTCTAATTATTCATCAGATATATACTGAGTGCATACTGTACACCAGACCTCCTGTTAGGTCCTAGCAATACAGAATTCATTTGTTCAACAACAGAAATTCATTGCTTTGCCAAATACTGGGGTAAAATGGGAAAGAAAGCTGATGTGTTCTGGCTTTATAAAATTTAGTCATGAGGCAGATAGACATTAATCAAGTAATCACACATATAAGTATATAAGCACAAATAGTGTACAGTGATGAAAATGATGAAATGCTGTGAGAGTGTGTAGGAGCACATAGAATTAGAGACAAAGGGCCGGGCGCTGTAGCTCATGCATGTAATTCCAGCACTTTGGGAGGCCTAGGTGGATGGAGCACTTGGGGTCAGGAGTTCAAGACCAGCCTGGCCAACATGGTGAAACCCTGTGTCTACTAAAAATACAAAAATTAGCTGGGCGTGGTGGCACATGCCTCTAATCCCAGCTACTGAGGAGGCTGAGTCAGGAGAATTGCTTGAATCTGGGAGGCAGAGGTTGCAGTGAGCTGAGATCATGCCACTACACTCCAGCCTGGGTGAGAATGAGACTCCATCTCAAAAAAAAAAGAAAAAAAAGAATTAGAGACAAAGTCTTAGCTCTAACAGAACTTAAAAGTATAGTAGGGAAAAGGGCCAAATAAAGAGAGATTAAGATATAAAGAAAAGATTAAAATAAGATCTTCATCTTAAAAAAGAAGATCTTCATGGAAGATTCGTACGATGAGATAGGAATTAGGTTCTGTGGAAGGATGGAAGAGGCAGCATGAAACCCAATCTGGAGAGAAAGGAATTTGAGAAATAAAATGAGTCTGGAGAAGACATGCTGGTTGACAAGGAGTTAATCATGGAACAAAGGAAAGGAAGGGAAAATAGAGCAGCATGTGCAAAGATACAGGAGAAGACATTCAGAGAACAAATCTCATGCCTGCTCTGTTGTATTTCTTAAAATGCGTATCAAAATAGGGCATTTACACATTCCAGAAGTTTTAAGTGCATCTCAGAATTCTATTATAGGGCTTTACTCTCCAACAATGAGACTGTTCATGCAATTTCCCCCTAAGTGATCAGACAAAAACTCATTTGAAGTATGTCCAAGATGCCCTTGGCTGCATGTTGCTGGCAAAAATTCACGATAGGAAAAAAAAAAGTATTCTTAGAAGGTTCACTTGCACTAACACCATAAACTGCACCACCAATATTAGAATAGTCTTGCTTCACTTCATAGGTTCCACAGTGTTGTTAAAGTGTGACCTCGTCTAGAGGCCCTTAGTTCATCTACTTTTACCCTATACTCTATCATTTAGTTGCTGAAGAGCAGAAAAAATCTCTTCTGGGTCTCTCAGTAACCAAGAAGCTGGTATTTTGAAAGCCCACTGAGTAAGAGATAATTTTTTTTTAACAAAAGAAAGCGAGTGTTGCTTATAAAGATATAATTATTAAACTACGTCAAAAGAAATATATAAGCCATATAAAACATAAACATTAATGCCAAAGATTATTAAATGGTAAGGTTGAAACAAACCATTACAAAATGAAACCACTCTATTTGCAATTGCTAGAGTGACTTTAGAATATCTCATTTGATATGCACTCAGACCCACAGTGCCCCTCTCTTAGATACTGACCAACGGACATTGTCTGTGATTGCTCAGTGTTACAGACACTAAGTCTCTTTCTTACAAAGGAGCTGATGCCTTCAACACCAGATAGAAGCAACTTCTTAGGGCCACCCCCAGATTTTTTCCTTCTGATAAATCAGTCCTTGTAGAGGGTGTGAGATTCTCTTAGTATCACTTTTGTAAAAGCATTTTAAAAATTAAGTGTAATCTTCAATAGTAAGCATAACTGCCTTCAAAACAAGGCTGGAGGATTCTTAAATAACGCAAATTATGATTCTGATTTTTAGTTCAGCATAAAGATCATAAATCAGTTTCTTTCTTCAGCTTTACTAAAGTCATGCTTTCCAAGACTCAATCGTTCTTACATCAAGGAGGCACATCCTTCCCCAAACCCCTTCCTAGTCAGTATAGACAATGGAGCAACAGGGAAAGAGAAGACTTTTGTTTAATTAGGGAACCCTAAAGCTTAATCCAAGAGTAAACTGAAATATTGTAGCAAAACAACCAGCAGTTTGAGATACTTCCTTAGTGGCATTTGACCCAAAGCAACAGATATGTGAAAAATAGCACATATTTAAATGAGTCAAAATGAAGAAAATTCATCTTTTCATCTCTGGTGAGCATAACGTCATTCTTTCGATTTGTTAAAATTCCTCCAAAAAATGATAACCTTTACCTTAAAGAATCTTGCTTTTGAGATTATGGATAATACGGAAGCTTAACTAATAAAATATGTTAATAAAAATGTTTACCTATCTATAAAAGTGTAGTTTTATGATTTTAGTAGAAGACAAATGGAAATTCCAAATATTGTATAAAAGATATATATATTTTTTATAAAAATTTTCTAACTATTTTGTTAGCCTCTATATTTTAAATGCATAACAGTAGCATAATTAATAAATTCTTTAAAAATTAATACTTTTTAAAAATCAACTTTAATTTAAATCATTACTTTTAATGGTTTGAGATGAGCTCTTTCATTGACATATCAAACCAATAAGTAATTAATTTTTCATACAGCCAAGTTATAGCTATTATACACAATGAACAAATTTATATTTCCGAAAGTGATGTAGTCAACTTAAAAAATCTAGTTAATTCGCAGTAGCCAAGATTTAAAAGCAACCTAAGTGTACATCAACAGACAAATAGATCAAAGTAATATAGTACATATACAAAATGGAGTACTATTGAGCTATGAGTAACATGAGATCCAGTCATTTGCAACAACATGGATGGAACTGGGGGACATTATGTTAAGTGAAATAAGCCAGGCTCAGAAAGACAGACACCACATGCACTTACTTATTTGTGGGAGCTAAAAATTGAAGCTATTGAAGTCATGGAGATAGAGAGTAGAAGGATGATTACCAGAGGCTGGGAAGGGTAGTGGTGGGGGTGAAGGGATAGGGCATGGTTAATGGATGATATGAAAACATAAATAAAATGAGCAATATCTAGTATTTGACAGCACAGCAAGGTGACTACAGTCAATAATAATTTATTGCACATTTATAAATAACTAAGAATATAATTGGATATGTTTATACCACAAAGAAAAGACAAATGCGGGAGGAAATGAATACTCCATATATCCTTATGCGCTTATTACACATTAAATGCCTGAATCAAAATATTTCATGTACTCCATGAATATATACCCCCACTATGTACCCATAAAAATTAAAAATTAAATAAATAAAATGTACTGCATGCCTTCTTAAGTACAAAAAAAATCAAGTTAAATTACTTTATGTAGATCATAATCCCTTTAGTACTTACCTTTACAAATTGTAGTAGATATTTACTAATTTATGACTGAAGTATTTTGTTCCCCTATCAATGTTTATATTACATAATTATCTGTTTTATATATATATATATATATATATATATATATCACTATTGTGTAATATGAAGGTATAGTTAAAGATTGCTATATTTTCTCTACAGTATCATGAAAATTTCTCAAAAGAACTTATGTATATGGAGGTCCAGAAAATATAATTTTCCTTAAAATAGTATATTACATTTAGTATCTCCTTACCTAGACACATTATTAAGTATCTTAGCAGGTAGCATTCTAAGACAATCTTTTATGATTCTCACCTCCTGTGTAGCTGAACCCAGTGACTTGCTTCTAATGAGTATAATAAGGCAAAATCATGGAATATCTCTTCTAGGATTAGGTTACAAAAGCCTGACAGTTTCATCTTTATGCTTTGACTCTCTTGCTCTCCCTCTCTCTCTCCCCGCCTACTCCTCCTCCTTCTCCTCCTCCTCCTCCTCCTCCTCCTCCTCATGTTGACACTTATCGTTTCATTACAGCAAGGAACTGAGGGTGGCTTTCAGCCAACAGCCCTTGAAGAACTGGATCTAGTTGAAAACCATATAAGTAAGTTTAGAAGAAAATCCTTCCCTAGTTGAGCCTTCAAATGAGACCACAGCCTGCTGACAACTTGATTTCAGCCTGTGAGAAACCCTGAAGTAGAGATCCTGGCTAAGCCTTGCCTAGATTCTAGACCCACTGAAACTATAGAACAAATGGATGTTGTTTTAAGCCAGTAAATTTTGCAGTAATTTGTAATGCAATGATAGATAACTGATATAATCATTTAGCCACCTGTCTGTTTCTAAATCTGCAGTGTACAATAGAACGCCATTCAGGGCTATAAGGAGACAGCTTTAGCCTTGGCAACTGTCTAACTGCCCAGCACTTATGCTGGCATTCCCTAAGCAGAGGATCATTGTTTCTTTACTTCTCACACCAAATAAATGCCAAATAAATATATATTTTTTAGTCTATTTCATAATCAATGTGTGCCTACCAGTAAAGTCTTAATATTGTCCTTCATACCTATGAATGAATGACTTTTTCTACCCCCATGAAACATCAGGTAGTCTGATATTTTAACTGAGATATGAATAATATATAAGAAAATGAACAGAGCATAAATGTTCAGTTTGATAAGTTTTGAACAATTGTATCTATTTAACCACTACCCAAAAAGCCACAGAATATTTCCATCACCCTAGAAAATTTATTCTTGCCTTTTTTTCTGTCACCATTTTTTCACACTCAACTCTCCAACTCTAAATTATCTAATTTCTATCAACATATATTAGCTTTGTCTTAATTAGATCTTATATGAATACATTTAAAAACACTGTGTAGGGTTTTGTGTCTGGATCACTTAGCTTAACATTATAATTTTTAAATTTATTCATGCTGCAGCAAGTATTAGTAGTTTCATTTTTTATTGCTGAGATTAATTTATTTAAGTGGATATTCTATCATTTGTTTATTCATTCATCTGCTGTTGGGCATTTGGGTTATTTAAAGTTTTGCCTATTATGAATAAATCTACTATAAATATTTGAGTACAAGTCTTTGTGTAAATATATGTTTTTATTTGTGCTTGGTAAGTACCTGCGGGCTGAATTTCTTTGTAAGCATATAGATAATTTTTTGAAAAACAGTCAGAGTTATTCCATTTTATAACTCCATTAGACATTGTGGAGAGTTCCAGTTGCTTGACACGCTTGCTAACATTTCATCTTTTTTAGCAGTATTTATCTTAGCCATTGTAGTAGGTAAAAATCATGTTTCGCTGTGGGATTAATTTGAATTATTTGAATTTCTTTGATAGATAATGAGATTATGCACTTTTTCATGTGTTTATTGACTGTTCATATATATCTTGCTGATTTTTATGTTGAGTTGCTTGGATTTTTATTGTCATATGTGTATGTGTGTATTAATATGAAATATTATAGTATTATAATTATATATTATATAAGCCTTTTATTTAGAGGTATGTTCTGTGAATACTTTTCCCAGACAGTAGCTTGTTTATTGATTTCTTGACAGAGTCTTTTGATGGGCCGAATGTTGAGTTTTGATAATGTCCAATTATCTCTTTTTAAATGTTATGGTTTATGCTTATCTTAGCCTGTCCAAGAAGTCTTTGTCAGCTTTGAGGTTGTGAATTTTCTTTTAGAAGCTTTATGGTTCTGATTTCTAAATTTAGTTCTATAGTCTATCTCACTTGTTCTTTCTGGGTGTGTTAATTGAGATAGGAGTTTTGATTAACTTTTTTTATATAGGCATTCAGTGGTTCCAGCAAAATGTGTTAAATACATTTCTTTCTCCATCCAATTAATTTGCCAGTTTTGCCAAACCTCAAGTATAAATCCATGTGTCTGCTTCTGTTTCTATCTTTTCCACCAATTATCTATCTGACATTACATGAATACCTCGCCATAGCTCTAGTTTTACTGTAAGCATTAAAGTTATATAGTTCAAGTCTCCCAATGTTGCTTTTTCTCCAAAATTGATTTGACTGTTTTAAATGCTCTGACTTTTCACATGAATTTTAGAATGATCTTGTGTATTTCTTGCAAATAGCCTCCTAGAATTTTGAAATGGATTGCATTGAATCTATAAATACAGGAAGAATGAACATCTTAATATTGAGTCTCTTGATCAATAATAATCTTATGCCTCTCTATTTATTTACATTCTCTTTAATGTCAGTAATGTTTACAATTTTGAGTGTTGAGGCATATTTTTGTTATATTTATTACTAAGTATTTTTGTCAAGAACTATGAAGCATCAGAGATTTTACCCTACCTGCATGCTAACTAAATAACCTATCATAGTCGCATATATATATATATATATGCTGATACTCTGGCTACCGCTATCGCTGTGAGTAATAAACTGTTCTTTGTCTCAGATAGCAGTGTTTCTTGTCTTCTGCCAACATTCATATATATTTATTAAGTATTAATTTACACAACTGCAAAGTGGTGACAAAGACATTTGGGGAAGAGATATACGGATCAACCTTTCTGAGTGGTCAAAAACTGTGAAGATATTTGTATCCCATGTGAGTGCTCACCAATGGGTGACCTCAGCAGAGGAGGATTTTAATAAGCAAGTGGATAGAATGAACTGTTCTGTGTATACAACTCAGCCTCTTTCCCCAGCCACCCTGACATTGCCCAATGGGCCCATGAACACAGTGGCCATGGTGGCAGGGATGACAGTTACATGTGGGCTCAGCAACATGGAATTCCACTCACCAAGGCTGACCTGGCTATGGCCACTGTTGAGTACCCAGTTTACCAGCAGCAGAGACCAACACTGAGCCTGCAATATGGCGCCATTCCTCAGGGTGGTCAGCCAGCTACCTGGTGGCAGGTTGATTTTATTGGACCTTTTCCATCATGGAAAAGGCAAAAATTTGTCCTCACTTGAATAGACACTTACTCTGAAGGTGGGTTTGCCTATCCTGAATTCATTGATTCTGCCAAGTCTACCATTTATGGACCCACGGAATATCTTATCCACCATCATGGTATCCGATACAGCATTGCCTCTAACCAAGGCACTCACTTTATAGCTAAAGAAGTGCAGCAGTAGGCTCATGCTCATAGAATTCACCAGTCTTATCATGTTCCCCATCATCCTGAAGCAGCTGGATTGATAGAACAGTGGAATGGCCTTTTGAAGTCACATTTACAACACCAACTAAGTGACAATACATTGCAGGGCTGGGGCAAAGTTCTCCAGAAGACCATGTATGCTCTGAATCAACGTCCAATATATGGTATTATTTCCCTCATAGCCAGAATTCATAGATCCAGGAATCAACGGGTGGAAGTAGAAGAGGCATCACTCACCATTGCCCCTAGTGATCCACTAGCAAAATTTTTGCTTCCTGTTCCTGCAACATTAATTCTGCTGGCCTAGAGGTCTTAGTCCCAGAGGGAGGAAAGCTGCCACCAGGAGACACAACAATGATTCTATTGAACTAGAAGATTGCCACCTGGACACTTTGGGCTCCTCCTACAATTAAGTCAACAGGCTAGGAAGGGAGTAACAGTGTTGACTGGGGTGATTGACCCAGAATATAAAGATGAAATTAGTCTACTACTCCATAACAGAGGTAAGGAAGAGTACATATGGAATACAGGAGATCCATTAGGGCATCTCTTAGCATTACCATGCCCTATGATTAAGGTCAATGGGAAACTACAACAGCTCCAATCCAGGCAGGACTGCAAATAGTCTAGACCCCGCAGGGTTGAGGATATAGGTCACTCCACTAGGAAAAAAAACCATGACCTGCTGAGGTGTTTGCTGAAGGCAGAGGGAATACAGAATGGGTAGTAGAAGAGGTTAGTCATCAATACCAACTACGACCACATGACCAGCTGCAGAACTGAAGATTGTAACTGTCATGAGTATTTCCTCCTTCTTTTGTTAAAAACATGTTTGTGCCTATATACACGTGTACTAGGAAAATATCTTTATTTTATTTTCCTTTCCTTTATCATGTGGCATAAGATTTATTGACTTCATATCAGCATTTAAGTATCATCAGCTTTATGTAATAGCATTTGAGTTGGAGATTGGTGTGTTTCCAGTTAGTTATCTTATGTTAGGCATAATTATGACCTTGTATTATGTTAGGCATAATTATGATCTTATTATTGTATTTATTTAAAGATTATGTATGATCTCAGGAGATGTGTATAGGTTCAAGTTTAAAAGGTTTGGACTTGGCCAGGCATGGTGGCTCACACCTTTAATCCCAGCACTTTGGAAGGCTGAGGCAGGAGAATCATCTGAGGTCAGAGTTTGAGACCAGCCTGGCAAATGGAGGGAAACACCATCTCTACTAAAAATACAAAAATTGGTCAGGTGTGGTGGCTGTTGCCTGTAATCCTAGCTACTCAGGAGGCTGAGGCAGGAGAATCACTTGAACCTGGGAGGCGGAAGTTACAGTGAGCCGAGATCATGCCATTGCACTCCATCCTGGACAACAAGAGCAAGACTCCATCTTAAAAAAAAAAAAAAAAAGAAAGAAAGAAAAAAAAAAAAGAAAAGGGTGGTCTTGTGATGATTAATACTGAGTGTCAACTTGATTGAATTGAAGCATGCAAAGTATTGATCCTGGGTGTGTCTGTGATAGTGTTGCCGAAGGAGATTAACATTTGAGTCAACGGGCTGGGGAAGACAGACCCACCCTTAATCTGGTGGGCACAATCTAATCAGCTGCCAGCAAATATAAAGCAGGCAGAAAAATGTAAAAAGGTGAGATTGTCTAGGCTCCCAGCCTACATCTTTCTCCCATGCTGGATGCTTCCTGCCCTCAAACATTCGACTCCAGTTTCTTCAATTTTGAAACTCAAACTGACTCTTCTTGCTCTTCAAGCTTGCAAACAGCCTATTGTGGAACTTTGTGATTGTGTGGGTTAAGACTTAATGAACTCATTTATATATATGAGTTATATATATATGTTATTAAAATGTTATATATGTGATATATATGTGTGTGTGTGTGTGTATGTATGTGTGTGTGTGTGTGTGTGTCAGTTCTGTCCCTCTAAAGAACCCTGACTAATACAGACTAATACACCCATCTGCAAGGTTGTTGACATAATTCTGTTTCTTATGCATAGTTGGACTAAGGTGCCAGTTTTTTGTAAGCTATTGACTAGAGGCCTCATGCAATTTCTTGCTGTATGCACCGCTTTATAAATTATCACAACATGGAATCTAGTTTTATCAGAGCAAGTGGACAAGTGGGCCAGAGAGTGCCAGAAAGAGCATGAGCAAGTGAGAAGACACCTGATGACACAAGTGACATCTCATTACTTTTGTCATATTTGTTGGTGTGAAGCAGGTGACTAGCGATAGCCTACCCTACAGGAGAGTAGATAGCATGAGGGGGTAAATAGCAAGTGGTGGGGATCATTAGGAATCATGTCGGAAGCTCCCTAACACAGTGTGTTTAATCATCATAATCTTTCTGTGGTGTTCTCTAGTGTTTTCCTAATGTCTATATTTAAAGCTCTATGGTTAGAAAACAAATATGATACCAAGAATCTACTTCCCAAATCTGCATTTTATTCAACAACTCTATTGAAGCGTTATTGCATATTTGTGTGTCCATTCTAAGAAATCTTGGCCTGCACTGAGAACACAGATTTTCTACTTCATCTGGTGTCACTTTTGGTAAACTGTATTTTAAGAAGTTAAAAATTTTGGCACAATGTTATTGTTAACATTCTCCTGTTATTCTTTTAATATGGACACAATATGCCATGATAATTCATCACCTGTTCTTGATTTTACATACTCTCTCTCTCTTTTTCTGTATTTTTTTGATCTGTTTAGTTAGAAGTTTATCAATTTTATTGGTCCTTTCAAAGAATTCACCTTTTAACTCTAAAACTTTCTTCATTGCTTCTCTGTTTTATTGATTTCTACTCTATATTTTTCTTTTTTTCTATGCATAATGGGTTTAATTTGCTCTATTTTTTTTTCTGGGTTCTTAAGGCACATCATTGATTTGAAACTTTCTTCTTTTCACATAGACGTATTTAAAGCCAATTATTTTCCCTCTAAACACAGTTTTTTTGGTCCTGATGCATGGTTCAGAAACATGAGCTGAATTAATACCCATCCAAAGTATATCAGTTTTAAGAGGCCATTCTCTTCTATAGCTCTTTGATTCTTAGGATTATCCTTCATTTTATTATGGCAGTGAGCCCTTGAGGTCTGTGTTTTGATTTCTTAGTCCAGAAAGACCATGAGTTTTTCTGAGTTTCAACTTTCCACCCTCAGTCCAGTTTGTGAAACCCAGGAACTCTTACCATGCTCTTTCTTTAATTCAAGTTTTGACTCACTTATAAAATCTCTCAGCCTTTGTCCATAGTTTTTATTCATATCCTTCAGGTAGTTGATCTGTTTTCTCTAAAATTTTTAGCTGTAATCTGTGGGATGATTAGTCTCTTAGAGGTTTATTCCTCTATAATAGGAACAGACTTACCAAGCCTATGCATCCATCAATAGATTACAGGTGTACATATTTTCCAAGTATTTCATTTTGTTAAAGTGTGAGTTATATTATTCAATCAATATAATGTCTATGTTTATGGACTAGCTAATAATCTATAATAAAATACTATTCATCACATTACTGTGCAGTATTGATGAAGTCATAATGGCTTGCTAAGTTTGTGCTGTATATTCAATATGCATTCAGACTTATGCCATAATGTATCTCTTTTTGTTGCTTCAGTATGTTTAGTGAATGAGGATTAACAAACCCATGTATTCTGCCTTTGGACCATTACTATATATTGAACCCATAACATGTGTCTATTATTCTTCATACATATTCAGAGTACATCTTATAACAGTTCCTTTGGAACCATTATCCACATATGCTGTGAATGCATATTAACAGCAGAATACATTTACATATTATGAGTTCATCATATTGAATGCATAGTAAAACCTTTGTAAAAATATAGTTATAATATTCAAAAGGTATTTACTTAAACATGTTTCTTACTATTCTACCATTTATTAAATGTTATTTCTAAATTTCTAGTGGATATTTGCAGAAATTCCATGTTTCCAGAAGACTAAGTTATCAAATAAAAGTTTTCTAACAGGATCCTTCTTGTTAATATTCTCAACAACAAAATATAGTCTACACAGGTAAAAGAAATAGCAAATTCAGTTTTAATAAACACATTTTCATAATGAGCTCATTGCAGAGCTCTATTTTTATTGGTCCTGAATAGAAGCAAAACTTTTCATAAACTTCTGAAAGTCCCCAAATTCTGTAAGATATAAATGAAATGGAATTTGGACCCACTTGACAAATTACGCTACTATATCTAGCTAGTTCTTTATCAACCAAATAACCTAAACTCTTAGTATGAATCCAACATGGCTTTTAGTTTTCTGAGGAATCTTTGAGGAGGTTCAGCTGGTTGCAACAAGAGGTGCAAATTTCTGTGTGATTTTTAGGTGCCTTCGATAATGTTATAGGGTCATAGGCTAAAGGTTGAGTGACTTTAAGCAGCCAAGAAACACAAGAGCTCTCTAGAAGAGCAAAGTGTTTATATCTCATTACTACAATGAAATCAAATTTTGCACCAGCACAAAACAAAAAAGACAGGCCTCTCCACTTAGGTAACATTATTAACATGATCAGAAATCTAAGCTATCTAGTCAGAAGATACAACTGAGTATTGTGTTCTAAAGTCACTTCATAATCTAGATCATATTGCTCCAACCAATAGTCATTCATTCTACTTGTACGATTAATTCAAAATGCCAAATAGCAAAAGTTTAGTTCTGTAAGCAAACATAATATTGTATCAACTGCAAAATAAAACTATCACATCATTCCAAGAATAAACATTTTTTAAATGCAAAACATTTACATCTGTAGGGAAGTAGCTCTTTATTCAACATGATGATCAGGTTAGTATCAAAATTATTAAAATTATCAAAAATATCTGTGGGGAGGAACACTGAAAATGGGGACAGATAAAGAAATAAGAATTTGGTTTATAATACATTTTATTTTAGAGAAAACAATGTTTATTATAGCAGAGGCATGGCCATGTATTTTCCTTTCATCCCAAATATAGTTTTTCTGTTTTCTGTACATTAGTCAATTTCACTGGGCTAGATTTAGAGCTCTTTGTTCAAGTGAAATCCTCCCTAAGACCATGTGTGAAACAGATAAATGTCAATAAATGAATTACTTTAAAATTTTTTATTGATCTGTGGAAACTTCTTCAGTTTTAGACATGATCCTTGATGCACTTCAATGGAGCTGAAGGGTGTAAAAATAGTGCACAAGCTACTCAGCTTTTAGAGGTCAGGACCATGTCTTTCTCACATTTCAGGATACTTTCTGTATCTTTCATGGTGCCTGGCCCAGAGTAGATGTTCTGAATGTTTCTGAATGATTGAAATAAATGAATATCTTATTCCTTTTTGTAATCTCAACTAGTGCAGGTAGACAAAGCTGTAAGTATCGAATTGTGTTATAATTGCTGTGACAATCAAGATATATGGCATATATAATAAAATAGTAAAATATGATACACGGCATTTTAAGAAGCATAGCACAATACGAAGATCTCCAAACTAGATGACAGTCATGAATTTTGGGTTCTGTTCAAAGTTCTTTTACTTTGCATAGGACTTTGGTTATCACTGGGGCTTGTGCCAGTGTTACCTCATCTGTAACATAGTATTATCTTACCAGAATCTGTAAGCTCTTAATGTCTTTACAACAGTAAAATTTATATAGTAATACAACTTCAAATGTCAAATGTCATGGATATTTCTTAATTGATGACAAAGTAGATATCCAAAATTGTTTCTTCAAACAGTTAATAATTTTTACGTGCAGAAATAGTGCAGACCCATAAAACAAACATTTTGGACAT